CTCTCTCTCTCTCTCTCTCTCTCTCTCTCTCTCTCTCTCTCTCTCTCTCTCTCTCTCTCTCTCTCTCTCTCTCTCCCTCTCTCCCGGGACGCCGGGAATCGAACCCGGGCAGACAGTTTACGACACCAGCGCGCTAATCCAAGGTCCGGACTCGTCAGACGAGTCAGCTGACAAGGATTTTTTGTTGTTAGCACTTAAAACACCAATTGTTACAGGTGACCGGACTTTTACAGATGACCGGAACATACAAACATACGGAGGGATAATATTGAAGGGAGCTTGAATAACTGATTTTGCGTGTACGACGGACAAGACAATTAAGTTTAAATTGTCGGTGATATTTACATGTGTGTAAAGACGTGTTGGGGTGGCTCAACGCTCCCGACGGGGGGTTACCTTCCACCCCCTGGGGATGACATTGACTAGTGCCGCTGCTGAATAAATCAATGCAGCGGTGACATCCTCGCAGAAAACATGGCGGTGGTTGGGAAGATCCTCGCAGCTCTAGCCGCTGCCGACGTCGGGACCTCGGCGTGGTTCGCGGCGGGCTTCCTCGGCGTTCTCACCGCCTACATCGTCTGGAAGTTCCGGAGCGAGAAAAGCCCATTTGCCGAGGACTGCGCCCGGCCGCCCGCCCCGCTAGTCACCGACCAAGGCGCACGGGATAAAGTCCTCAAACAAGGTAGGGATATTTAGCCTCTACCTGGCTTCATAATCGGGTGTAAAGAGTAGTAAAATAATATATTGGCCAAATAGACGGATACTAATACGCCTGGGGAGTTGGTCCGCAGAAGGAGTACAGTTTGCCGCTCTCTAGCCAATTTCTGCTCTTTATTTGCAGAATCTTCTAAAGCCTGGTGGAGGCTAGAGAAATGTGCGTCAATTCTGTCAATTCCTACCGTAGTCTAGATGCCACAGGAAGATAATATTTATCGTAACACAAGCGTTGTTATTATTTACGTAAACCCTTAAACATTTTTTCTTGTTTTCTTTAACAACACGATTTTTTTCAGAACAATAAATAAATGCTTTGTGCTGATGACAGATGTGGGCCTATGCTCATTTAGCATTAGAAAGGGGACGGTACATTGTTCACTACCGGTTCCCTTGGGGGACCGTACATTATATTTTATGAATGACCTTTGTCTGTTTCTCAAGTTACCTGGGATTTGATGTATTCCGAAAAGGCTATATTTTACAATAATTCAAATGATATATGGGGGTTAAATAGTAAATGCAAAAATGTCTTGATACTGTAAATATTGAAACATATTTGCTGTGGTTTTATTTTAGTGGTTTTTGTGGTGTCCTTGCCACCGCAAAATCATGACACCACAAAAATTATTAGCATTTCCTTTGTATCAATATATTACTACAGAATTGTTCCAGCAGTAAAATTTGAACATAATGTGAAAACCTGCTTCTTTGGATGCAAATCTGGGATGCAAATTAATGAATTTACGGTAGCTGACAGGCAAATTTTCCTAACTGCTCGTTTCTGGTCCAGAGAGATTTGAAACACAATAGAAGATTTAGTGTTTTTATCTAGAGTTGGGCAGATAGCTGAAGCATGCAGTCAGGAGGTCATACATTACAGACAAGAAATCAGCGAGTCTATTTCCGGCTGTCTGCTTGATTCAGTACATATGGGGCTGAAAAAATACGAAATCTGAAATTTTCTGACTTGAATCTAAAGGACAAATTAGGGCAAGAAATAACTGAAATATTGTTTGTGCTGATGAAAAAAATCAAGGGCTCGACAAGCTTAGTCAAAGCAAGGAGCGCAAAAGTATAATTTAGTTGAATTTCAGCTTACAAATAATCTTGTTGACACTCAGTCTTGAACAAAAACAAATTTATGCCCTTAATTAAGGTGGAGGTGGTTATAAGAGGAGGTCATTAAAAACTACCCTTAGGCCACACCAATTTAATTTCTTGGTTAACGGATTTTTCTACAAAAATAATGGAGCGGGCGGGCAAAAAAAATAAAAAAATAAAAACAGGCCTAGGCATACTATTATGGCCCAAAATGGTACGATAGGAGCCATGAAGTCAACACACCAGGCTGGTTCAAAATTTTAACAATGAATTTTGAATTTTAATGATACTACTGCATTGAAAGATGGAATGACTGTAACAAGTGGTAAGAAAAGGACTGTTTTCAACTGTTCAGGGCAAAATATGAACATTTTGCAGTTGATTCTGAATTTTTATTTTTATTTGCAAATCAGAAAAAAATGAAGCGGCGAATCCGTTAACCAAGAAATTAAATTGGTGTGGCCTTACTACCTCATTCACAGGATTTGCTGTTAAGAAAGTTCCGGAGAGCCTGGATGCCATCGTGATCGGTAGCGGGATCGGCGGGTTGGGGACGGCCGCCATCCTGGCGAAGGCGGGGAAGAAGGTTCTGGTTCTGGAGCAGCACGACCAGGCCGGCGGCTGCTGCCATACGTTCATCGACAAGGGCTTCGAGTTCGACGTCGGTAAGTATCATCATCATCAGACCTCCTCTTTAAGATTTGTGGCAAACAAAATCCCACAAAAGAACCTTCTTATGGGCCATTGTAAAGCTCTGGGACCCTCTAATAGGACATTGTTACTCTAAAGGACAGACATAAATTTTTAAATCTATGTCTTAAAAGACGTGTAAACTGCCACCAGGTATTCGACAGCATCCTTGAGACAGTGGCCAAGCTGAGACTGGGCATTGCATAGAAAATAAAAATTTAGCCTCCAGAACATGCCCTTCTAAATTACTGGTAGCTTCTGTTTCAATGAGTTTCTTTAGTGTTTGGACAACCAGTCCTTATCTCCATGTCCAGAGACTCCTGGCCACAAGTACATAGCAGGATGTAATCACCTTGGAAATTACATTTTGCTGCAGATGGGACTGCGGGAGAATGCACAAATATCGCTTCGGTCAATCGCAAGAGCTAGCCCTATAGCCTTTTGCTATTTCGGTAGCCCTGGCAATGATTTCATACAGCATTGATTCATACAAACAATTCAAATCCTTCCCATACCTTTCAGTGTGTACAGCAGTGCCTATCTTGTCTCATAGCCCTTGGGCCAAACATGCGTGCAAGCACCTTGTGTACTTTTCATCATGCTAACCACAAAGTGTAACATTTTTCCAGGCATCCACTACGTGGGTGAGGTCTGTAACCGTCTTCCTAACCAGGTGATCAGCGAGCAGATCACAGAGGGCCAGCTGCAGTGGGAGGAGATGGACGAGGAATACGACACCGTTGCGCTCGGAGCCTTCGACAAGGTGCGATCGCTTCTACCAGGCTTCAGAGGCGGCTGGAAAGAGTTTAAGAACTTCGCCAAATACACAGATAGTGTGCCGGGTAGTTGATCCGCTATAGTAGTACAGATTTCTACTCTTTCCTGCTCAATTGGAGTTTGCAAATTTTTAAGATATTAGATATTAACTAGAAGACAGTCAGAAATTTTGAACTCATCTCACTCTAGATGAATGGAATTTGACTGAAATGTAGGATTGTAAATGGGAAACCATTCCTTAGCATCCTGATCTATATTGACAATGACTCCAATTGGGATCTCTTCCCATAGAATCAGTGGTTCTGTCAGATTGCAATTAGTACCCTAACATATATACTACAATTCCACAGCCTCGATGGATTCCTATAAAGAAAGGCTACGAGCAGTTCAAGAAGAACCTTCTTCACCACTTCCCCGAGGAGGGTAAAGCCATCAACGAGTATGTTAGCAGACTGCAGGTAATTCACTCATTCATCTTGAACCTCAGTACAGTTCAGATATACTCTTCCACTGGCCGTGACAGAGAGCCCCTTTCACAAAGTTGTTTGTGGTTTTGTTTCTTTGCTTCTGAGAATTCATGTATTGTTTTCAAGAAGGTGGCTGAGCTACGGGTTTGTGTATCTGTTTGACCAGACAGAGTAGGTTGACAGTACATGGGCGGGGAGAATAAGTACTGGTCTCTTTCTTCCCAGTCTATCCAGCGAGGCGGTGTGGTGTATGTTGTGCTGAAGATCCTGCCCCTGTGGCTGGCTAAGTTCCTGGTGAAGTCTGGGCTGATCCACTGGTTCACCTGCTTCTTCAAACACGTCCGACCTCTGCGCAAGGTCACCCAGGAGCTGACCGACAACAAAGACCTGCAGTGTGTCATGTCCTACAGTTTTGGGGATTATGGTACGTGTTTATTTGTTTGTTTGTTTGTTTGTTTTGCATAACTGGTAAACCACCTTTAGGTTTAATGCACAACTATTAAGCAGTACATGTAATTTCAACTGATAACAAAGACCTGCAGTGTGTCATGTAAGACAATTTTGGAGATTATGGTATATTGTTTGTTTCACATAACTGGTAAACAGCCTTTACTCTTAACACCAGTTTTGTACTATATAAAGTACAAGCTGCATAGGATAGAACTCACACTGATCTTTTGGATACTTGCTCAAGGTGTGTATCACCTAAAACACAATGCCTCTGACTTACAATACTAATACTCTGCTATGTTTCATCTGAACATGTCTGCTTTTTTTCCCAAGGTGTACTGCCAGAGAAGGCTCCTTTTGCCATGCAAGCCATGGTCATGTCACACTTTATGGAGGGAGGGTACTACCCGAGGGGCGGAGCTAGTGAGATCGCCTTCCACATCATTCCTGTCATTCAGAAGGCAGGAGGGGCGGTGCTTGTCAGAGCTCCTGTCAATCAAATCTTGATTGGCAGCAATGGAGAAGCTTGTGGTGAGTGGTAAAGATCGCCAAACAGGGATTTTATTTTGCCATGTCTAAAAAAATATGTGTACTGTACTACCTAACTGCAGTAGGTTACTGTAAGTTTTAGTATTTTTGCAGGGACGTTTAGAAAATTAGCATTTCAGGATAGGCTGTTAGGAAGTGAGAGCTTTTTGTGCTGTGCTTAAGTGAAAAGATGAGAAATTGAAGTGATGATTTTGCTGAAAAGTGATGATTTTGCTGAAATAAAAGCGCTCATAAATATTTTATTTACAATAATCGATTCCCTGTCTGGTCTTCCCACAGGTGTGCGTGTGCACAAGAGCAGTGGGGATGTGGACATTCATGCACCAGTCGTCATCTCTGCAGTCGGCTTCACCAACACTTACAAATATCTGCTGCCCAGAGAGATAGTGATGAAGCATGGTAAGTTAAAATCCTTTTGACAAATATTATCAATGATGCATACAACAAAAAATAGCTACTCTGATCTGAGGAGCTTTCGAGATGCTCTTTGTCTCTTCGTCAAGTTTTACAGTTGACTGTTCATTTATTTCTTCTTTCTGCAGGACTGGATGACATCTTCCAACACGTTAAGCCCGGAGTTGGAGCTTTGAGTGTCTTCGTGGGCCTGAAGGGGACCAAGGAGGAGCTTGGTCTCAAAGCACAGAACACCTGGGCATTTATGGGTAAGACAAGCTCTCCCATTGGTTAACTAACTTTTGACTCAAACAGTGCCATTTCTGAAGGGCAGGGGTGGGAGAAATTTTTATCCCCTGTGACAGTGCCACCAAATATTTTCTGTGGATGATTTTGTCTTGAATAGTAGAGCTGAATTTTTTTCTTTATTGGGCCACACCGATTTAATTTTATGGATGACATCCGCGCGCGCATTGATTTTCGCCCGATCTCAAAAAAAAAAAAAAAAGATCACGTATTCCGAGGCTCTGGCCTGGCTTTAGGCCTGGGTAGTGCATGGTGGTGATAACTCTGGTTGACGGCAGCCAGGCTACCGAAGCTCCAGTACTCAAGAACTCAGTACATACGTACAGCAGTGTCGATTCATATATTCCGCAAAAATCCAGCATGTGTCGGCCTGTCGTATACGTCGCTATGTAATGCGCCAAATTCACAATACCAGGTTTGTATTCCTGTGGTTTTGTAGCATTTTTATTTTTGGCCGGATTTTTATTTTTTTCGCCCGCGCGCACTAGTTTGGGGGTCTTCAGAGGATGTCATCCATAAAATTAAATCGGTGTGGCCTTGCATAAGATACAATATCATTTGATAAGTGCTTTCGGTAAAACTAAAGTGTTGCAAAATTCTGCTGCAGTAGTAATGCAGCTGTTTGCCATATTTTTGCTTCCACTTCATGAAAATGTTTTTCAGTGTATACAGTACAAATTTTGAAGTATACTGGTAGTGCATCTATGTATTAGTTCATTAGCTGTTGTTTCCATAACAGCAAGATGGCATCTAACATGTTACATGTATTTTTATTGGAATATGCATTTTGTCATCCTTCTTCACTTTGAATAAGTAAACTTTTGTTGACATTATTAATGTCAACAAAAGTATATACTGGTAGAACATCTAAGTATCAATCTATCTAACATTAATTTTATAATCAGTACTCTTGCAGTACAGGTTTGCCTACAGTTGCATAACAGATTTATAATAACCCTTAGCTGATAACCAAATTTCAAACATAAATAGTAAATTGCGAGGTGTACAGTGCATGATCGATGATAACACTTGATTAAAGTGCCAAAACTGCAGCTTTTGGTGTCTCTTGCATTTGACTATTGCCCTGTTATGTTTGTTTTAATTTTTTGCTTCCATTTTCTTTCTTGCAAAAGACTTTTTCTCCTACTATACAGCAAAATCTTTCTGTGCCTAATATTGGAAATGCACTTTGAATTCACTATTAGTTGACTCACCATCAAGCAAAAAGGACCAGGGTGAGTTTACTGCAACATGTTGTTAACACATTCAGAAAACTAGACAAGTACTTCTTCTCTTCTTCTAAATCAGGTCTCTAGCAGCCCTTCCACTGGTCAGGCCCCTGAGAAGCTTTATGGCCAAAATCTTTAAGTCAGGAGAGTTGGGAACATTGTAATTCTGTCAATATGCAAACATGGTCCAAGTAACTGTCAGCTACCATGGTGTCAGAGGCTATGATGACTGGTTTCCATACTGACAGAGAATTCTGAAATTTTATTTTTGAACTGTGAGCAAGAATCCTGAGCTCCTATTGGACTGACAGAGTGATATCCCGAATTAAGAGACTCTTTTTGCACAACCAGGAGGTATATTCAGCTTGAAATAAACCTGGTTGTGTAAAAAGAGTCTCTTTATCCAGTGACTTACCGACCCGATGAAACTATTCACTAATCCTGACCCTTGTCTAAACAGTCTTGACTCCAGACTTAAAAGTGAATGGCCACAAACTGTGGGAAGGTCTCCCTGGACATTGAGAGTTACACAGACTTCTCTTAAAACTACAATCTGCACCCCTCTTATACTAACACCTAGCTCACTTTATTCCCAGAGCTATTGATAGTATAATAGAATAATACTAATAATATTCAGCACTCACCTCAATCATTGGAAATTAAAAATGGTTCTTAATAGTGATTATGAATAGGCAAACGTTTGTTAGTGAAGAACTGTACTATACAGCTCAAATGCACAGTGTGTTTTATCAAGAGTCTATCCATAACATGTTGCAATAACTTTTTCCACTTAATATTTATTGATAGAATCTTAATTACTTGGACACAATGCACTCCTATAGAACATTTGAAGGACTCTAATAGAACATTTCAAAATCTTTTTTTCTGGATCTATAAGATAGTTTGTAGAAGGGACTTTTTATGGTTTTACGTTTTGATATGATAAGAAGTTATGGAACAAATGGTTTGTAGATCCCGGGACAGACTAAAGTAAGTAGTCCTAGTAAGTATACACCATCCATTCCATCATACACCAGCGCCACCTAGCAGAGTGGATGGTATTTGCAGTTCACAATATTGTTACACGCACTGCCTTCCATCTTCAATCAGGGCCTGTTTGGCAAAGATTTAATTACATAAGCCACCAATCACAAATGAGTGCACTTTGATGTATGTATTTTTCCATTTTTTTAAGGGAATGACCTTGACGGGTACCTGAACGCGTTCATGTCCAAGGACAGGGAGTCGGCCGGCCAGGACGTTGTTCCGCTCATGTTCCTGTCCTTCCCATCAGCCAAGGACTCCACATGGAAACACCGCTTCCCAGGTAAGTCTGCAAACACTTGGTGTGTACTCATTTAAATGATTGTTGGCAGGGTAGCGGATCTTGGGGAGTGTGTTAAAGCTTAGCAAGGCTGGACTCCAGGCTAGATTTGGTTAGGGTCCATGACTTTATATTCATACAAATTTTTTTTGGCACCACCTTGCAGGCAAGTCCACATGTGTGATCATCACGTTCACGCCGTACGAGTGGTGGGAGCAGTGGAAGGACCAGCGGGTCATGAAGCGCGGGGAGGAGTATGAGGGACTGAAGGACGCCATCGCTCGACAGATGTGGAAACAAACCTGCCAGCTCTACCCACAGCTCAAGGACAGGGTCAGACATTTTATTTAATATGAAGATTTGCCACATTTGTAGAAGGATTGACATAACACTTTAATTAACAGGTGACTATCACTTCTTCAAGATGCCAAACCTAAGACCAGACTGTGAAGTTTGAACCACTCACGCTGGTAAGGACCACTGATACATTGTCACAAATGCTGGTTAGTGCTGTGCAACTGTTTTAACGTTGTTTTATTCCTCCGTAGCTGGAGTACATGGAAGTGGGAACCCCGATCACCAACAACTACTACATCGGCTGTGACCGAGGCGAGATCTACGGCCTGGACCACGAAGTGGAGCGCTTCTCCGCTGAACTGGCGCTGAAACTGAGACCAGAGACACCCATCCCGGGGCTCTACATGTCAGGTCAGGCAGTCTTCCATTGGTCCTTCATTCATTCCTTCCTTCCTATTTGCCTTTCTTCAAAGTTCCTTTTCTTCTTTCCTCTTTCATTTCTTGCCCTTCATTTCTTGCCTCCCAATTCAAATCCTACCCTCCTTCTTCCCTTCCGTTTTCAACCAATCTTCCCCTTGTTTTATCCCCTACCTATCCAATTACTGTCTTGGCTTTCTCAAGAAAACACAATTTTGCCCACTCCACCCAGGTGTCAAATGGGTTCCTGACTACTGTGGGGGATAATAATAACTGGTAGAAGGAGAGGGGTGGGCTCTGCCTTCCAATGCTTTACAGTGGATCAACATCCCACTTCCCCTATTGCTTCAAAAAGGGGCATGAGACTACCTTTACATTTACCTCAATGTTATCCCCCCAGGCCAGGATCTGGTTACCGGTGGTTATGCCGGAGCGCTCGCCGCAGGCGTCATTGCCGCGGGCGCCGTCCTGAAGCGGAGCATCTCGCTTTGGCTGGATCTGCTGCTGCTGGACGTCAGAAGCTATCTCACCAAGAAGAAAGACGTCTGAAAACATCCAGCAAGTCAGCTCTTTGTATAGCCTCTAACAGGCTTCAGAAGTGGCTGGAAAGAGTAGAAATCAGCTAGCCTCTACCAGGCTCCAGGCATGTCAGGAGACAGCTAGAAACACGAGAAATGGGCCAAAGAGAGATATAACATAACATGCCAGGGGAGTTGGTCCGCTGGATAGTACAGTTTGCCGCACCCGGCACACTGTACTCTCTAGCGGGCCAATACCCTTGGCATGTTATATCTCTATTTGGCCAATTTCTACTCTTTCCAGCTGCCTCCCAAAGCCTGATAGAGGCTAGAAATTGGCCCTAAAGACAGATAACATGCCAGGGGGGTTGGTCCACTAAGGGAGTACATTCTACTCTTTCCAGCTTCTTCTGAGGCCTTGAAGAAGCTACTAATTGTAGGCCTTAACTCTCAACAACATCTACACCAATCAGTGGCCATTTTATGGATAAGTATTGAATTTAAGCCATATCAGTAGATTTCATTGGTTCTCTCATTGCATCAAGTGAAACTGTCAACAACATTTGCACCAATGAGAGTCCATCTTACTGGGCCCTGTGGACAAGTATCAAATTTAAGCTGTATCAGTAGATTTCATTGGTTCTCTCAACAACATTTGCACCAATCAGAGTCCATCTTACTGGGTCCTGTGGACAAGTATCAAAATGAGATTATGTTTAGACTCCAAAATGTTTGTTTCTTTTTTTTATTGGCAACATTTCGGTAGCAGAACTGATGATGACCTGAACCGACCTGATTCAATTTGGGACCAAAATTTGGCCTTCCATGTTTCTGAAACAAAGTAAACTCCTGAACTGGCTAGTGTAATTAATAGGTCTAGTGATATGATATTTTGCTTGAAAGAGAAGCCATATTTAATGACAGTTAACTTTCAACCTTAATTACCTTAATTAAGAAGACTTTTCAGATAGCAGCTAAAAAGTAAGCAATGTCCTGTTGATTTTACAGGAGAAACAAATCACATCATTTTCTGAACCATGTCAGATTCTGAATTTTGAAACCCAGTCAGTTCAATTCAGTGCTTGAACGATTGATATAGCGGCTAAGCCATAAGAGAATGTAACAAATGTTGCGAGTAAAGTTTCCACAATGTGGAAAAAGCTAAAGGTGGCCAAACCTGGTAAAAATGACATTTGGTCTTTGTAAATTGCAATGTGTTATTTTATGCAAAAGAATAGAATGCTGAGCAACCTGGAAGGGTTTTTTTTAACAAATACAAGTTGTGAAACTTGTTATGAAAATGTGGAACTTATTTCATGTTTTATTGTCTTATATTTTAGTATCACTAGCAAGGATAATCAGACAATAAAAATGACAACTGCTTTTTAGGAGCCCATAGAATTCTTTTGTCAGAGGTTTTATATTAAACTTGTGAGATAATTTTGAAATGCAAGGCCACAAATGTGAAAAAAGGAACGATGCAGTTTCGAATGACATTGTGAGGTTTTACATGTATGTAGTACACAGCAAGAAACTAGCTAGAATATTGTTGGATTCGGAAAATGATGTCATTGACATTTAGAAGTTGACTGTCGGAATTATGATGTACATGTAAACATTAAGTGTCAAATTGTAAGATTTTAGGCTAGGGAAGTGACAATATGTTAGTGAATGAGAGTACTGTTAGTTCGACTTATATTTAACTGACACTATTGTATAAGCCATCTCATAGTTCAAAGTGTGCATGTGCAGCAGTGATGCATTGTGGGCTAGGGTCAAAGTTGAAGGTCCCTCAGTTGTAAACAATTCATTGTCTGGACACGTTCCGAACGTTTTCATGTAGTTGTTTGTTTACTTCTGAAGGATTTTGACCTCTGATCTTACCCTCAATTGTTTACCGCAGTGGAATTTGAAACTTGGTCCAGTGTCTTCCTTATTCTATTGCAAGAGTGGAGGAATAGGTTGTTTTAGACAATTGTGTGAAACAAAATAAATATAGTTGACATAATGAATATGACAGATAGGGTGATGCCATACTTCTGGTAGCAACTGTATACATGTAAATCTGTGGACATGTTGTGGATTTTGCAACTTCTTCAGTCTTCCTTACATTTGTATGGAAAATGTTCACTGCAACTTAATTTAATGCTTTTAAAATATTTTTAGCTATTTATTGTTAAAATTAACAATGAAAATGATTCTACATTATGTCTGCCAGTATTTATCATCAGGGTGCAATAAGCTTGCAAAAGAGATGTTTTTTATGAATCTATGATATTCAGGTTTATGACTGTTGCTATAATATTCATGTTTACAATTGTTGCTGCATCATATCTTCCAGCTTGGTGTGAAATTTTTATTCATTTATGAATGTTGCTGTAATTTTCATATTATTGTTGCTCTTAATGTCCAGCTTGGTGTGCAATTTTTGAGTGTTACTATAATATTCATATTTATAATTGTTGCTCAGTGTAACTCAATTTCCAGCTTAGTGTGCAATTTGTTCATTTATTTATTATCTATCTATTTATCATCATTATTATTATCAATTGCTTCAAGGCTATGCATATACAGGTTGACATTGCCATTAAGCCATTTTATGAATGGTGCTATTATTTATGATACTTTTTGTGATAGTATTTGTAATTGTCACTCAGTGTAACATACAGCTTGGTGTGCAATTTTTATTTATCATTTATTTATTTATTTATTTATTGTCCTTTTTATTATCAATGGCTTCTCCTTTTATTATCAATGGCTTCAGCCTTCAAGGCTATGCTTATACATGTAGTTTGATATTGCAATTAAGCCATATAGATTAAGATTTGAAAATTGTTGCTCCAGTGTGACTTAACTTCCCTCTTGGTGTGCATTTTTGTTTGTTTATTCAATATTTATTTATTTATTATTTTTATCAATTACTTTAAGGCTATGCATATACCTGTTGATATTGCCATTAAGCCATATTCATTAAGATTTGAGGCATGTAACATAGTGGAGTGTAACATGTATAATGGGCATGATCTAGGTCGGACATAGTTGATCATTGATGTTTCGTAACAATTTAGGGGCTGTTTCAAAAGTTCTGTGTTTGGGGGAGGATAAATATTTGATCTAGGGGTACAAACATCATTGTGAACAGCTAACTAAATGTTGAGGGGAAGGGCAAAAAAAAGCTTTTGCAGAGTTTGGGAAAGAGTTGATTTGGATACAAAGCAACAATGTTGCTGGGGAAATCCCCATCATTCCAGTTAAAGGAAAGTTTTGAAACAGCCCAAATAATTGTGGGTAGTAATGTTAGGTAAATGAGCTACATTAAAGTTGGAGGACGTTCTGTAAGTATGGTTTACATGACACTTGTGCAATATCTTATGACAAGTAGACGAATCATTACTTGCAGGTCTCTCTTGTCATGTGGAAAAAAAGAAACACAGTTTTCCTCAGTGACTGGTTGTACATGTGTTGTTACTTCCAGGTATGGAAGTATTGTTTTGGGTGGCTGAGTCATGGGGTTGTGTGTGTGTGTTTGTCCAAGTAGCAAGTGTACTAGTGACGGTTATCAAATTGTATGAAGAAATGAAACGGAACACAAATGGGGTTGTTTATGAAACACCGCTTAGTTACATCAATGACATCATGATATTGAAATCGATCCTAGCTATGGACAAACGAACTCGCAGCCACTTGTTACCTTGTGAGTTAACAACCGTCCAGTCTCGAGTCTTTAGCACTTAAGACTGAGGGTCTGAACAATGGTTTTTAAAAAGTCGAAAAGCCGTCTGGCGCTTTTGTTTTTCACGGTTTACTACGCAGAGAAAAGCGTCAGAAATGTACTTAGAGGACTGCATGCAGGTCAATGACACTTGAACTAAATTTACATGGACTAATTTTAGCTGTGGAGTATGAAACTGCAAAGGGTTACACGGACAGGCTGTCTGGAAAATATCCTGTTCAATATAAAAAAAAATGCTTGTAGGTAGTCTCCACCAGACCTTCCTATTGGGGGGACTGGGATGGTAGAATATTCGGCAAACTGGCCAAGAGAGTGGGTCCACCGTTAGGGTTTCATTTAACCCTCAGAAGGCAAATGAACTCAATGGTACCCAAAATCCCCTGGCCAATTATTCTCCCTATTTAGATTTTTCTTTTTTGAACCCGCGGCGTAGGTCTGGTGGGCACCAGTTGTTGTTAGTAGTATAATATTTTTATGCGTAAAAGGGCGCTGACCGTATTTTGAACTTTGGAAAGGTAAAAACTGGTCAACGACAACATAGGGATGGTGCCTGATCTAAAATAAACACTCACATGCGCAACGCAACAGTTTTGTCGTTAGATCTATATTGAAACAGTTCACACACATACCCTGGTTCTATCATTTTTGGACAGTCCCCAAGAATAACATTTAGACGTACGCAGCAAATGATAATGACGAAGCAGAAAAATAATGGCCGGCGGCGATCTATAGGTCAGATGTTGCCCAAAGGCGCACATAATTAATTTAGATGTGTTCTAGAATATCTACAATATTATGATCTGCATGGTGTAGCAAATACAAAGGAAAACAGAACAATGGTTGCAGACGACCACAATGCAAATATTCGCCATGATCATAATCACGTGTTACGACACAAATATTGCGTCACATTGAAAGGGAGAGCAACAGCAGGTCGCTTCCAGACCTGAGGTCATTTCTTCTTCCCCAGATTGCGCGGTATAACGTAAGATATCTCATGGCGTTTCTGTCTCACATGTTGTCACTGCTTGTGGCGAACACCAGCGCTCCTGTAGTGTTCGGATTGATATGCGTGACGGTAACATCCGTGGCTGCTCTTATCGTGAAGTGGCACCGATCGCCGGCAAACCCGTTCTCGGCAGACCGGGCGAGGTCGCCCGAGCCTTTGGTGACGGACCACGCGAAGAGAGACAAGGTCCTGAAACAGCGTAAGTAGGCCTGTTGAAATCTATTGTGTAGTCGTGATGATCTATATATGATAGTCTGAGTGTCTGACTGCCAATCCTTTTCGGAAAATTGTGATGAATTGTTATTTTTGTGCAATATCGGTCCATATATGTCATTATATTAAACACGAAGATTCGACGCTTTCTACGGAGAGCACCGAAGTGGGGTTAATGACACGTTATATTAACTACTGTAGCTAGACCGGCTTTTCGAAAAACAATTAAAACACAAACAGATAGAGTTTTCTTTAATCGAGATATATTCTAATGTGGATAGTGTGTGGATACGTTAGAGTAAGAAGGTGTCCGAGGAAGCACGTGGATCGTACTAACAATGAGATCGTAGGTAAACAAACAAAAGGTAATCAAATTAAAAGGATCCTTTTGTTATTTCTAATTTATACATTTGTGCAGTCAATTAATATGACACTAGAAAGGGTACGCCAAATAACGACGGAAAGGACCGTTTTCTCGACAGGATACATCTAGCCTGGTAGTTATGATGTGCATGTAAGAAGGAATACAATATAATTGACTAGAATTATTGATTTTGTGTCAAATTTATTGGACTTTGCTACCGTATTGTTATGACTTGTATATGTGACCCATATCGCACTAGCCTGGTAGCCATACCATCGGGATCTCATATATGTATTTTTACGGTACTGGAAGTGTTGCTCGGCTAATCTCCAAGCAGATTCGGTGGGGGAAGGGTCGTAGAATTCGGCAAAAAAGAGAGTAGAATTGGCCAGGGGAGTCAGGCCGCGGGCCAAGGTTGTTTCTTTCCCTCCGAAGAGGCCAATCAAACCCTATGGCGGCCAAATCCCTAGGCCTGGCAAATATTCTCCTATATATAGCCAGCTTAGTTAGTCTGGTAGAGACTACGCGGCCAATAGATACCTCACCGAATCTGCTTGGAGATTATTGCTAGCGCTCGCCCGCCTAGGCTCATTAGCGCACGCACGGAAATTTTTACGGTGTTGTTTTTAAGGGTGGCAGCAATCAGAAAGGCCGACTGGAAACAGTATGTTACATATGGATCGTAAGAAACGATGCTTATTTATAGTCTGGCGCAGTAAAAAACCCCTAAGCCGATCCGTTTCATTAGATTGGTTCCAAGCTAGGAACAGCCAAGGCTTAAATCTGTGAGCTGAATAAACTTGAAATTGTACAATCCACGTGTGTACTGTATCGTATGCATACTCCCACGGCATTTATACATGCATTTCTGCTGAATTAATAAGTACCCAGCACAAGTATGTATTGTGTTACAAACTCACCCGCCTCAATCCCTTGGGAACCTACAATACATGTAGAAATCCCTACTCTCCAAGCAGAGGTGTAGGCTGGCGGCGTTTTATCCGGCTTTAATTTTTGTACCGGCCCTTTTTTTCCCGCCAGGCTTCGGTGGTTTATTACTACTAACTGCCCTGCCCGTGATAGACATTACTTGTAGCCACCCAAAAATGTGCTTGGAGATTAAACAATCCCATAACACCGCTGTCTATTCGGAATGATCTTGTTTGTAACGTTACTAACAGTGACGGTAGTATTTGCTGAGTTTTGTGTATTCGGGAGGCCAATTGGCGGGCTATAGTGAGCCGTAGTGAGTCCACTATTGTGCTGTGTTTGTCTGTGTGGCCTTTTAAACATGGGAGCGTACGTTAGTAAAAGGGGAGGGTTGTGTACACAATTAAGATCAATTAAGGATGGGAGTAGGGACACATCTTTTTCGAGGGAGCGACCGTATAATTCTAGGTTATCTGTTCAGATGGTCTGAATTTAGTATCATTTCACGCTCTATTAGGCTGACCGTTTTATTTATTTTATCTATCTTTTTTTTGCGTGTGTCCCGCTGGTCCTTTTTAACAAAAACAGGAAAACATGTTAGATAACGTTATTTGACGGTGTATGGCCCCTGACCTACTTACAGTATTTCATATCACCTGTGAGGGTCATGTACTCTACAAGCAGACGCGTTTAGGTTTGGGTTTATTTTTGAAGTTTGATTTTCGTCTGGCTTTCTTTTTGTACTGGTATCTTCTTTTTATTATACGGTACAAAAAGAAGGTCGGATAAAACGCCGAAAACACGTCAAAAATACATCTAATCCCAAGCCCAAACCTCTGCTTGGAGAGTGAGGACCGTACTCATGCACCAGGCATTTTCGAATTTCCGTGAGGTAACATCTTCTTATCGCGCTGTCCAACGTCAGATTGCTAAAAAATTAAGCGACTCACGCCGGTATTCGCAGCCCGGTTTTACCGGGATTCCTGCTTTGGTCCGTCCCTATGTAGACCCTCTGTTGTTTCATATGACCTACGAAAGTCGTTGCACTTTCGTTGTGTCAATACAGTTCTCTATGTGGGCACCGCTCTTTGAAACGTGTAAGTTGTACTTTACGCCCTACTAACAAAAACAACGAAATATTTTGCATCAAACGCCACTCAAAATGAATCATGTGTGTGAAAAATGGAGAGACATTCCTTATTTTCGAATTAACAATTATGTGCCACAGCACGTCTGTTTGGAGAATTTTGTTGCTTCTTTTGTATGATAACTTTTTTACCAGCTTGTACGCGGATGAGATAGCGATAGCCTCTAAAAGGCTTCGGAAGCGGCTGCTATGAGTACAAAGTGGCCAGATAGACAAACCGTGCCATGGGAGTTGGTCGCTGAGGAGTACGTTTACCGCCTCCCTCGCGCATGTTATTTGTCTTTATAATTTGGTTTCTACTCACAGTGGCTTCTACTCTTTTCAGCCGCTTCCGGAATCTGTTAGAGGCTAGGGATGCCATATTCGGATATTTTCGTGCCAGGTCGGATTTTGGCTTTGGTCTTTATTCGGATATTTTCGTGCTAGGTCGGAATTCCGTTCGCGGTATACATTCGGATATTTTCGTCCCAGTTCGGATATCGGTCCGGCACAGGTTCGGATATTTCCGGCGGATCTTCGTACCCATATTAGGCGTTATTCGGGTATAATCGGCGGGAGGATGCATTCCCGAGAAACGGCAGAGAATTTCGGCGGCAGGAAAGTGTATCGGCCAGGTGGGAAACTTTTCTTTTGTAAAACTTGTGTACAATTTGTATATTTGGCTGTTTCTCCTTCGGATGTGTTAATATAGATATTCTAAGGAACAAGTTGATGTATAGTTTGCGTGATATTGGGAAAAGTTGCCGCTGTAAATCGCTAAAAATCTAGCGTCCTTTGCAGGCGGTCGCCCTTTTGGGGAGGGGGGGTCGCTTTTTTTGCAACGTGCACGATTTTCTGATCAAGCGTAGATCAAGGACGCCATATTTTGTGACCCTGTGGTAGAAATAATGGGGAATTTTGTGTGCGTGTGTCACGTGTGTATGTGAAGTCTGCCATCTCTAATTGCCTTGTTGTTCATGATGTTGCAGGAGTCAGGTTTTAGCTGTTGATTTTGGTATCGAAAGCAAAGGCTCAGCTCACAACATCAGCAGAAAAGTGGAAAGGTGTGCTGAGTTGCGACCATGAATACCTACAGGTGTGAGGAGTGCTGCAGGCAGTTCAGTAGGCTGGGTCATCTGAAGACTCATCTGCGAACTCACACAGGGGAGAAACCGTACAGGTGTGAGGAGTGCAGCAAGCAGTTCAGTCAGAGGAGTACTCTGAAGACTCGCATGTGGACTCACACTAGTGAAAAACCCTACAGGTGTGAGGAGTGCAGCAGGCAGTTCAATGAGCTGGGTCATCTGAAGAGACACATACGGACTCACACAGGTGAGAAACCGTACCAGTGTGAGGAGTGTGGCAGGCAGTTCAGTCAGCTGGGTCATCTGAAGACTCATATGCGAACTCACACAGGTGAGAAACCGTACAAGTGTGAGGACTGCAGCAAGCAGTTCAATGAGCTGGGACATCTGAAGAGACACATACGGACTCATACAGGTGAGAAACCGTACCAGTGTGAGGAGTGTGGCAGGCAGTTCAGTCATCTGGGTGCACTGAAGAGGCACATGCGAACTCACACAGGAGAGAAACCCTACAGATGTGAGGAATGCAGCAAGCAGTTCAGTCGACTGTTTAGTCTGAAATTTCACATGCAAACTCACACTGGAGAAACCATACAGGTGTGAGGAGTGCAGTTGGCATTCATCTGTGTGACATGATCTAAAAAGGCACATGCAGGCCCAGAAGTAAAATAAAATCTCTGAAGATGCCAGATGGAATACAGCAACCTCTTCCATGTGGACACTTAGAAGTTAGATATGCTAAGGGAAAAAAAACTAAATACCATGTTAAAAAGCCTAAGAATCTCCACCTTAGATAAAAGCATAGAACCTGATATCTTTGAGGCTCAATGAGAGGTAGAGTGTAAAAGGAGTGCAGCAAGCTGCTTGGGTCAGTTATAGAGGGACAAAGACTTGTAAAACTCTGAAGTGAGTTCCATCCTCTTCATTTAATGTTTCCCTTGATGTGAGGAGTGCAACAGGTAGTAAGGCCACTGGATGGAGAAAAGGGCTTGTATGGACTCAGAGCCACCGACCTTTGTTTGTTTTTGTTGTCGCAACTTTTTCTTAATATTGTCAGGTCTCTGAGCCCATTCTGCATTTTCCTATGTATCAATAGTTCTAGTTTTGTTTCTTGGTATTAGTCTATAGTAATAGTGATCTGATGTTATAGTTAGTTATCAACACTTACTGTGTGTTAGGTTTGTTTAGAAACACATGTACATTATCAGGAAGTTCATTCCATTTTTCTAGTTGGTTGTCACAACTTTGTGCTTGTTCTCTAGCCAAGGATTAGTAATTATACAAGCAGGCAAAATAGGATTGTAATCAAAAAGTTTGTTTTCTAACCACTTACCAACTACCAGGCAGTGTTAACTTATTGTTATCTAATATATAGTTTTACAGAGATATTTTGCCAGTTACATTTGTACTAGTGTATGTATCTTCAATCCATTTGATTACGATATTCTTCCCTTAGTTCTATATATGAAATACTTAGGCTTGTAATAGTTGTGCATGTAGAATGAGTCGAGTTACAGTGCAGCTACAGACAGGCTTTGCAGTGTTGGAATATCTTGTAGTTGAAGTTGTACATGTATCTACATATGGTTGTCATTTACAGTTCAAATAAAGTTACATGGGTGATATACATTTGGCACCATTGTTTGTTGAAGAAACACATAGATATTGTTACAATTGTACAGTAATTTGTTCCTTGGTAAAATCATAGTTGCGGAAGTTGAGTACTAAGTACTAAATCTAGGAAGTGAAACTTCTATTGAATATACTTTGTTAAATTGGGATGTTTTGTTGGTGGTATGATCCGCCATTCCTATTTTTTTTTCTCTCACAATACAGAAATACACAACACAGTGCCACACAAACAGGGTAGCCTGGTTACCAAACCTATTATAGCTCCCGAGTCCTACATCCTCCCTATTTGCGGAGAGGATGTAGGACTCGGGAGCTATAATAGGTTTGGTAACCAGGCTACAAACAGGGGGGCCTGCATGCTCTTTTCGTAAGGCGTAATCAGGCCTTTTTAGTCCATAACAGGCAGCCTCTCCAAAAATCAATGTAATTCGTAACAGTACATTAGCCGCAAAGTGTAAAGTCGTAATCAGCTCTGAAACTTTAACGTAATTCGTAATCAGCAGCGAAAATTTGTTATAATTCATAATCACTATGGGGGTGGGGGACGGCGCTGAAAGGCGATATAAGGAATGGGCTCTGCCTTCCAGTACCATGCCCTAGACACAGTGGATTAACAAGCCACTGCCCCTATGGCCTGTAAAGGCAATGAGACGTTAAGCCACCATCAATACTTACAAGTTTTACAGACATAAAGTTCAAGCATCACTGTAGGTTTGACAAGTATGTAGGAGTCACTCCTGGAACTCATAATTTGCACTTAATGCTCTTGATCCTACTACAGGCTTAACGACAAAGAAAGTTCCGGCTGACTTGGACGCTATCGTGGTGGGCAGCGGGATTGGAGGGCTGTGTACCGCCGCGCTCCTGGCCAAGACGGGAAAGAAAGTCCTTGTTCTTGAACAGCACGATCAGGCCGGGGGCTGCTGTCATACTTATGTGGACAAGGGCTTTGAGTTCGACGTTGGTGAGTGTTTTGAAAGTTCATCTGCCTGTAGAAGTCCTTATGCAGTAAGTTTGCACTGTATTTTTTAACACAACGGATTGGACATACCCAATTTTTGACAGTACAACTCCGGTCTGTGGTTACAGCATTCACCTCACCCATGTCCTGTCAATGTACTGTACGCATATACACTCACACAGTCACATACACACACATGCATACGCACATACATAGACACACGCACACACACACATACATACATACATGCACACACATAGCCTCACACATGCACACACACTAAAGACACACAGAGATCATACTTGAGAGACTAACTGTGCCACGTGTTTGTACCAGGTATCCACTACACGGGGAAGCAGAACAGTGTTCGGACATGGCCGCAGGTCCTGCAGGGCGGGACGGTGAACCAGGCACTGATACAGCAGATCACCGAGGGTCAGCTGCAGTGGGCCGAGCTGGACAAGAGCTTCGACATCATCACCATCCAACATGACCAGGACAAGGTAAGGAAGATTAGATCATATTTATAACAATGATGGTTTTTTTTATGTACATGTACCCCAGTACTTGTAGAAAAGCGTTATGGTAACATACTTCCATGTAAAACTCCACTTATGTCTCAATTTGCCCTTGTCAGCAGGGCTTAGCCTCACCAGGCTTCAGGAAGTGGCTGGAAAGAGTAGAAATTGACTAAGTAGACAGATGATTATGCTAGGGGAGTTGGTCCGTGCCAAGAGAACAGTTTGCCACACCCAGGAGCGGACTAACTCCCCTGGCATATCATTTGTCTATTTGGCCAATTGCTCATGTTTTTTTACCTTTCCCTAATCCAGAGAATAGAGGTGCCAATCAAGTCCAGCAGGTCAGAGCATCACAAAACCCTGCTGGAACACTTCCCTACAGAAGGAAAGGCTATCGATGAGTTCTTCAGACTATGTGACGTAAGTCTCTGTTAACCTTTACACAAGGAAAACGATCTTCACTCTTTTTGAATAGTATCCTTCTTTTCCTACATACAAATCATTATTACCTGATACACCTTTACATCCTATCCTTAAGCCAAAAGCTAGTTAATCTCAGCCTAGTCAAGTGAGGAAATAGGGGCCTGCTACTACTAGTGCTAGAGATTCGAACCCAGAACCTTCAGTCAACAACCCAACCCTCTTCCTCTCAGGTTTACACAGGAACCCTGAGTGGCTTCATCCTGATGAAGACCCTTCCACTGTGGCTCGTTAAGCTGTTCATCAGGACAGGGCTCGTCAGCAGACTAACGAGTTTCTTCCACTACATGTCGCGGAGCACCAGGGAAGTCATGGACAGTTTCACCGACAACCAAGACCTGAAGGCAGTCTTGTCTTACAACTATGGAGACTTCGGTAGGGGCTTCCAGACTTTTTTTTGCCTTTATACACAGGGATTTTGTTTTTAGTGTGTCTGATTATTTTTTCAAAATCTATTCAGTTGCTTGGGTAACTATTTCCTCATTACCTCATTGTCTAACCTGCATTCACCTTCATCACTTTATCCCCACAGGCTCCCCGCCGAAGGTGTCAGGTTTCCTGATGCAGGGCATGACGGCGCAGCACTTCCACGAGGGCGCGTTCTACCCGCGGGGCGGGGCCAGCGAGATCGCCTTCCACATCATACCTGTCATCGAGAGGGCGGGGGGAGCCGTGCTTGTGGCAGCACCTGTCAATCAAATCCTGATTGACAGCGATGGGAAGGCATTCGGTGAGTGCAACAGTTACTGCATGATACCTTTGTGTAAAATCTGTACAAATCTTATGAAAAACACACAAAGCACAAAGAAAACAAATTTCATCAAATGGGCAGGGGAGCTTGTCACTGCACCTGTCAGTCAAATCTTGATTGACAGCAAAGCAAGGGCAGTCACTGAGTACAGCTGTATGATAGAGTAAATACAGGGATACCTTAGCATTCCCATACCTCATCAAGAGGGCAGGGGAAGGTGCTTGTAGCAGCACCCGTCAATTAAATTTTGATTGACAGCAAAGGAAAGGCATTTTTTTTGCAAAAGATTTTTGTAAACAGTCGTCAATCATGTTAGTAAGAATTAGACAAAGGCTGATTTGTTCCAATAAATCCATACGTGACCTTCCAGGTGTTCGGGTGCACAAAAGCAGCGGAGATGTCGACATTCACGCGCCGGTCGTCGTGTCAGCAGCGGGAGTCTGTAACACGTACCAGAAGCTGGTCCCACAACCAGTGGTCAGAAAACATGGTAAGACATGTTCACACGGATTAAGAGATGAAGCAATGTTATCATATCTAATTTATTCATTGTTGTGAATTTTTTGCTGATTCTGTCTATGCAGTTTCCCTCTAGCACTGTGCCTATCATGTCAAAATAACTATGGACACACAAACAAACAAACACACGAAACAGACACTGAAAACAAATTCTCTATCAAATATTCAAGACAGGTTGTGTCATTTGATAGGTTTTGTTTTGTCATTATTTAATTCTTTTTTTCTCTTTATTATTGTCACCACCCTGTTTTTGTTGCTGCAGGACTAGATGAGATGTTCCAGCAGGTGAGACCAGGACTGGGCGCGCTCAGTGTGTTTGTGGGACTGACTGGAACCTCACAGGAGCTGGGCCTCAAGGCTCACAATGCCTGGATGTTCCCAGGTACACAAATATTTTATTATTAAGATTTATATCATAGTTTATAGGGGTCAATTTTTGCCATCCTAGAAGTCAAGGAAACCAGAGTTATCAACCAGTTTTCCTAGAACTTTAATATTCATAGTGTGAAATTTGCTGCCACCAAGTATAGTATGGGTGTGATTACTAGATAGCTTTAAACAATGTTTGCAGCTAGATGTGCAAAGGCTAGGTGTAACAGGTTGTTTGGTGTAATGTAACCAGCTGCCGCTGCGCTGTGTGCCTGTGAAGCTGCTGTGTTTCGCCAAAGGGCATTATACTGCCAATACAGATGGCGACTGGTGGCCTGATTGTTGTATTTTACTGACCACAGGTAATGACCATGACCAGTTGATTGAGGACTACTCCAGACTGACTCTGCAGGAGGCTTGTGAGGAGGAAACCAAGACTCCGGTTCTGTTTGTCTCCTTCCCTTCTGCCAAGGACCCCACCTGGAACACACGCTACCCTGGTAGGCAGAGAACAAAATCATGGTCATATCATTGTCCGAATCCTAGTCCACTTAGACTCGTACAACCACAGCACTTTCTGGAGACACTACCAATATGTAAATCTTGTTCTGAGGTACCCTGGTAGCTTTTTTAACATGATAAGTAGGTTATAGGTGTTATGTATTCTTGTTCTTTCTCTGTATGGGTATATATATGGACCAGGTGTTTGAATTAAATGAAGAAACAATACTTTCTGCGACCACACACCCCCCATCTTTCCTTTCCACCCTGAATCACAACTTCGTCTTTTTTTACAATGGACAAGAAGCTGGGCAGTGGTCCTGCCAAGGTGATTATTTTCTGCTTGTACTGAAAGATGTTTTTATCTTCCTTCCCCAGGAAAGTCCACCTGTATCATTATCTCCTTCACTCCTTACGAGTGGTTTGCGGAGTGGCAGGAAGGAAGAGTGAAGCACAGGGGTGAGGAATACGAGAGCCTGAAGACTAGACTGGCCCAGAAGATGTGGAGACAGGTCTGTCAACAGTACCCTCAGCTGCAGGGCAAGGTGAGCAGGCCGTGGGGACATCTAGTGGTGGTTGGTGGTACTGCAGTTTTCAGTCACTGCAGTGGACTGCAGTTTTCTGTCACAAAAAAGTCTTTTTATCAAGTTCATTTTATTACTCGGACTATATGTAGCACATAAGCAGAATGTATTGCACCTGCGCGAAACCAGTAAGGTATTATGCATAGCACTAAGGTGGACCATCTCATATAAGGTCATATTTGCATATATAAGGTTAACATCCCATCTGTAGTTTCCAAATGATGTGTTGAAAAACATATCATCTGCAGCAGGCAAAATTCTGATGCAACATTGACCAAACATCCAACAAAAACCGTGAAAAGTCAGGGTTTTGCGCAGGCGCAGTACATTCTGCCGACGTGCTACCATATTTGAATTGACAAAGAATTTTTCCCCACAGGATGAGTACATGGATGTCGGCACGCCTCTGTCCAACAACTACTACCTGGGCTCCACACGTGGGGAGATTTACGGACTCGATCACAACCGGGAGCGCTTCTCCCAGGACCTGCTGGTGAACCTCCGACCTGATACTGCCATACCCGGGCTATACCTGACAGGTGAAGCTATCTTATTCTTATATTAATAACGGGAGTACCTTTACCTTTTTACCTTCCCAGTGTGAGTGGTTCACCTCACAGTCCTGTCTCAGGGTTAGCATGTTGAAAAGGTGATAGCCACCTGTTGTATGTGGTAACATTGTATACGGACATGTGCCTCTCCAGGACAGGACATAGTGACGGCTGGGTTCGCAGGTGCACTGGTGTCGGGCCTGCTGACGGCAGGTGCTGTGCTGAACAGGCAGCTGATACTGGACCTCATCATTCTGGAGGCTAAAGCCATGTTCAACATGAGGAACAAGAAGCTGTAGTACCACATCTCCATGATAGGTGGCGTTACGGTGGAAACTGCAATGCAACACAATGCATACACAAGTGTCTGATAGTTGTAATAGTAGTACATTGTAAATGTGTGCAGTAGGAATATAAAGGGAGGTGAGTTTGCAACTGAAGCACATTGTACACATATTTGTGCAATTTTTATTCAGTTTGATACATATTTGTGCAATTTTTATTCAGTTTGATGTGCAATTTTTTTTTTTTCATTTGTTGTGCCAAATTATGTAGTTGATGTAGCTTGCAATTACTGAAGCCATGTTCAACATGGGCAACAAGTAGTAACACATCTCCATGACAGGTGGCGTTAGGGTGGAAACAGCAATGCAACACAATGCATACAGAAGTGTCTAGTAATAATTGTGTGTAATAGTAAATGTGTGAAGTAGGAATATAAAGGGAGGTGAGTTTTCAACTGAATCAATACTAACTAGCACATTGTACACATATTTGTGCAATTGTCTTTTTCAGTTTGATGTGCAATTTTTTTTCTTTTATTTTCATTTGTTGTGCCAAATTATATATGGGTACATGTAGTTGATGTACTAGTAGCTTGCAGTCACTGAAGCCATATTTAACATGGGCAACAAGAAGCTGTAGTACCACCTCTCCATGATAGATGGTGTTAGGGTGGAAACTGCAATGCAACACAATGTATACAAAAGTGCGTAATAATATGTGTACATGTAGTAGTAAATGTGTGCATTAGGAATATAAAGGGAGTTGAGTTTGCAACTGAAGCAATACTAACTACTAGTAGCACATTGTACACATATTTGTGCAATTTTCTTTTTCAGTTTAATGTGCATTTTTTTTCATTTGTTGTGCCAAATTTTTATGGCAATTTTTTCTAATTGGTCAAAAGAATATTTCTAACCACATGAATATGCATGCTACCACCATGCATTTGGCATAAGCTATTAATTTGAATCAATAGCAAAATTTCTGGAAAGGTATTGACAGTAACTGCAAATAACATTTGACAATGTGTCAGTAACAATTTTAACACAGCCATTAGAGGTGATTTCCTTATGAAAGACTTTTTGATGTATTCTTCTCTGTAAGCATTTCTAATGCCTGCAAGACATCATACATGTGTGTATGAATATCACAACTGGACACATGAACTCATGTATAAACTAATCTGAGATGTTTCTGACTAAACAGAAATAGATTTTCATTCCCTCAAGTCATGTACTTGCACCAGACTGTATAGTTGTAGCCTTTTCTAGTGAGTCCGTTATTTGTGTATTCCATGTATAGTATGCAAGTGCCATGCACACGGACACACACAGACAGACAAACACACACACGCATACTCAGCCACCACCTGCTCTTAACTTCCAACTACTTCGACACAAGAAAAGCTTGACAAGAGACCATGTGTAAGAAGAAAAGGTGTTTTATATCATCCCAACCTGACAGCTCTCTGTACTCTTTACAGTCGGTGGTTTGCTAGCATCACGATACCAAAGTTCACTGTACATGGAAGCTATAACATCACCACTTCTAGGAAATGTTTTGGCAGTAGTTTGACTAGGAATTTTTTCCCCACATTGTATACAGGATACTAGAAATATTGTGGGTCATCATCATATGATTTTTGCTTTTTAATATACATCAAGGGCTTAGAAAGTTTCCTATAGACACGCACATGGACTACGGTTTACCAAATGGTTATGCAGCAGAATCTCTCCTGGAACGATACACAAACATGTAAAATTGTATGTAGCAAAACCAACTCTAAAGTACACTGTACTTTGTAATTGCCCCTTTAATAAGGAACCAAAATCAGCAGTTTGCATTTCATTTACAAAATGGAATAAAACAAAAGTCAGGCTTACCCAAAAATTCAGATGACATCCATGCATGACTCATATAAAAAGCTACCTAGCTGTCTAAATTTATGTACAGTATAGATGGAACTATCCACTATTAAATGACGGACAGTTTTTTGCTTACAAAACACCCCACAAACACATTATTTTCCTCCTAATTGTGATAAGTTAAGTCACATTGAACCAATGACAGACAGACATGTACTAGACTACTAAAGTACCAAAGCCTACAATACAGTTCATACACACATATATACAGATACATCTATTCCAGTTGGTCACTACTGTTTTCAGTGGTACAGCAACATACAAAATTGCTCAGGAGTGACATTAGTTCATAACTTTTCAGAAAATTGCTGTCCAGATAAAAAAAATAACTACCAATGGACAAAACTAGTCTATACATAGTTTGCACCAAGTTTTGCATACAAAATTAAGATGTATGAGGATGAAAGAAATACATGGGGTTTTGCACTGGTAACATCCAGGGTTTTCTGGGTTCTAAGTCAGAGAAATGGCAAGTTACTGTTTACCAAAAGTGGCCTTAAATGACACCAACATTCCAATGAATACGGGGTTAGGCAACAGAATAGTATGGCAGTGTAATACGAGGGTCGCAAACTACTTTTTCCATACCATCAACTTCACTTCCAAGTTACTAATCAAATTATTTCCGTCTTTTTGACAGCTGCTAGCATTTTGCTGTACTCTTTGAATGTACTCTTTGTATCTGTACTCTTTGCTTAAGACAAATATGAAATACATGTACCAACAAAAAATGTATAGCAGACCTTCTTTCATGTCAAAATATTCTTTCAGTCCCTCTTCAGGTAGCCAAACAATTTCAATTTGCAGTGTTAAAAGCCATGCTAAAAATTCATGTAAATATCTCTTCTTCTATTGCTGAGTAACAACTTGAATGTGGATGAAAGTATTTTTTCATGGCTAAATGTCTTGACATCCTCTTTATAATGACCACCTGAAAGTTCACTGTACTATGTTGCAACATTTTCTTTGTAACCCGCATGCCCCTAAAATGTAACAAAACCCCAACAGTTGCTATATTACATGCTACACATTGAGCAACACATAAGTCAAATCAAATCCCCCCTCCCACAATGATGTATGCTGACAGCACATGGGTGGGAAAGATTGACAGGCAGAATGACAAAAGGTCAGACACTGGAAAGGGGGTAAGCTTCAAGATCATAAAAACCCCAAATGATTCCCGGAAGTCTCAAGTCTAAGATTTTTTTGTTCAATGTGTAGAAAATGACAGTTTTTTCTTTAAATTTTATGTGGTAAGCCTTGTCAGGTGAAATGACAAGACACTTTGTCAAGTAATAAAGAACTTAACACCCTCACTGCTGACATAGCCTTTGGTACCCAAGTTGTGTTGGTTAAGGATTGTGGGTACATGCTGAAGGTTACTGTAACACATGTAAATTCAACTATTCTTTCTGAGGGCTTTATGCTGAGGGCTTTAAGCTACCTTGACAAGTAGTCATCAGGGATCAATTTTCTGCTATATTTCATTTTTAAGTAGTCATTTTCTTATTCTATCTCAGACAATAAACAACTAATTATAACCTGTGTCTTTTCCAAAGTTTATGGGAGGAAATTCATAGTCCATGATCATTTTTCTGAAGGGAATTTTAGTTCTTCATTGGTTTATGTAACAAAAAAAGGAATGGAAAAAATGTAACGAAATTGAAAAAAAAAGAAGAAGCTGCCAATGATGATGTAGATGTCAAACTCGTAACTTAAAAAAGTAATTACCAAATAGCCCCAGGCATACAGCAACTGATATCTGGATATTACTTCTTCACATTAAGACCTCGGAATTCAGAAATTTGGAGAGGGCCACATGACTATTTCAAAGCTCCTATCTTCTATAACCAACATAAGGTTTAGTACAATGGATAGCTGGGATCTTTTAAGACTGGCTAAATAAGGCTTTTGGTCTAAAACAAGCTGTCCGAAGTTTAGAGTGCCTGATATCTACATTCTATTACACCTAAAGCTGCTCTGTAACATTGAATTAAAACTAAAATTTAACACATGTACATCATGTATGCAGCCCTATTTTGTTACTGCAGACAACTTAGCACACTTTCAAATGCAAATTTTTCTTTAAAAAATTGTGGTGCTGAGTTCATTTACATGTTAAGGAATTTTTGGGATGCGACCATACAACATGGAATTCATTCTACGGCTCTACAACAGTTACAGAGGGTGTCCTGTGTAAGCTGGCTCGTGGTTTAAATTGCACATGCAGTGTGGTGCATTACCCGTAATACACCACATGTCAAAGTTGAGGGCCACCGAGACATAACCAAAACACATCTGGACATGTACCAAGCATAGTCTTCTAGATACTGACTGTTTACATGTTAGTAGTATTCACCTTTGACTTTGCGAATCTGCAGTTCGAACCATGAACCAGCTTATACAACAGTTTCTTCCTGATTGTGCCTTCCTGAGGACCCACACTCTCCCTGTATACAAAATTTTAAACAGCGAAGCAAAGAGACCAGGTTTGTGGCTTGGTTACACCCGAGGACTCCCTTTTACTGAGGTAGGAGGAGGAATATCTTTTGCAAAACTGGCCAATCAGCTGCTTGCACCACGGACCAATCGGCTACTTGCACCACTGACCAATCAGCTGTTTGTACATCTGACTGTTTGATAATCAGTCAGCTGCCACCACAATTGGCCAAGCAGCTGCCAGAAAACCTGGCCAATCAGCTACCAGCAGAATTGGCAAACCAGCTGCCAGCATAACTGACCAATCAGCTGACAGCATAACTGACCAATCAGCTGCCAGCCTAACTGACCAAACAGCCGCCAGCACAACTGGCCAATCAGCTGCCTACAAGACTGGAAGGGTGTCCTGAATGATGTCAATGTCATGTGACTACCAAATGGCTTTGGGTCATTTCTTGTTCTTCTGACTACCAGATTTGCTTTTCTCGGACTTCTGTGAAGATACAGAAAAAATATAAACATAGTTAGCTCTGGCAAAACAAATATAAGAATCAGTATGCAAGTAGAAAGGTAACATGTGCAAAGCAAATGCACAATGTTTGCCTTCTCATGGTCTAGCCTAACAAACTACTGCTCTATTTATTCTTACTCAAAACACATTCATATATATTTCAAACACATTCATATATATGGTGACCAGCCCCTCCAACTGTGTTCTGCAACTTGCTACATAATGTAACTCAACACCAATGGGTGTCTGCTACAGCAAGGCTGTCACCATGGTAACTGGTACTGCAGCAGACAGCTACAGGAAGAAGTGAAGAAGAAGAAACAGAGCAAAAAACAGTGTGTTTCTCTTCTGCAAAGGTAAACATAAATATAGCTCATAAGAGTTTTTGATGAGTGCTTGCCTTTGCTGTACTGTCCTGGGGCCCATGTCCGTCCAGTTGTGGCATGCCGGCAGGTCCGTGCCCGTCCCCCGGTCCCATCCCCTGCTGTAACATCCCTGCTACCATCTGTCTGTGCATCAGCTGGTACACCAGCTCCTGTCATGCAGTATGGGACATAGTAAAGTTCAGTTCATCCACTACATGGTGACACCAGAAATATTACCAGTAATAAATATGTCTCTGTCCAACATGGCAGCAGACAAGTCACGGCCGTTCAAACCAACTTCATCCTCTAACACTTTCTTAAATGTCAGCTTAAGTCAACTTATTTTTGAGGCAAATCTCTAAATTTCATTGTAATGTAATTATCTTCCTATACAAAACTGTCATAGTACATGTAATTATCTTCCTATATGAGACTTTGCATCTTTCATATCTTTCACATCTTTTTTCTTAAGTCTTCAAATCAAACCTAGTTTCTCACCTGTCTTGCTTTCTATCCAGGTAGCAAAACAAAGGATAAAAACATTCATCAACTGTAATTCAATCAAACAATCTGTCTTCTCAGAAACAACAGTGACCAACAAAAACTAATTTCTTTGATGGTGTATGAAGTAAAAAGTAATATGTTTACTATGACTTAATAACAGTGTTCTATAGTACACAAAATGTAAAAGAGTATAAACAATACTTCCTGGTATAATGGTGACATAGAAAATCAGGATTGTAGTATAAAAGAAAGTTTTACTCAAACAAAAATTTGTCTTTTCCTGGTTATATGTAATACTTCTCTCCCAATCCCCCTGATCCTCTACCCCTCCCTACCCCCCCATTCTCCCCCTCTCCTGCCTTACCGGACTAAGCTGTTGTTGCTGCTGTAGAAGTTGACTCATCTGTTGTTGCTGGTAGAACAGCGCCTGTCTCTGCTGCTCCGATAACATCTGTAGTGTCCCCATCTCCCTACACAGGGGGAAAGGTGGTCTTGTTAGGGTAACCTAGAGTCTAAAGGTTCTGGGTTCAAACCCCTAGCAAGCCCCAGTAATGTGTCCTTGTTATGGTTAATTTTTGACGTGTTTTTAGGCATTTGTATCAGGATTTCATTTTTTGTACCGGTATCTTTTTTCCAGTGGGACATTGGATACTGCCCTACTGTCTTTCCAACTTGATACCGTTTAGAAGCCACCAAAAAATTTGGTTGAGGATTTTCGGAACTTTTGGAAAAATTTCCTTACCTTCCAGCCATCATGACTGGCACCCCTGCTCCTGGCATCATTTCTCCGAGATGACCTGGACCCTTCATGCCAGGGTGATGACCCGGGTTGTCCTGTGAACCCTGACCTTTGGCCTGGTTGACATGACCGTGACCTTTGGCTATCTCACTGATGACGGAGGGGTGTGGGTGGGACTCCTGTCCTGTTAGCTGGCCTAGATTCGTGCTGGACTTCTTGTGATTTGGGTTGGATTCGGGGCTGTTGTCGGCCACGTGATTCAACATGGAGGGCTCGTGTCCCACCATGTTTGGTGAAGAAATGTTCTTGGAGGTCAAGTTTAGTTGGTGGTTTGGGGTTGACCTGTTTGTGGATGCGACTCTGGATTGCTGCGGAGTGTTGGATCTCTGTGAGGACCCGGCTGGACTTTTCGACTTCCTTCCCGCGGAGAGCTGGTTCAAGTCCTGCATAGAGAGGCCGAGCTCCGGGTGGACGTTACGGTGGGGACTGGGCCCGGGGTTGGACCCTGGGGACCGCCCCTGTACCGGGGAGGGGTGGGGCTCCCCAACCCCACCCCCGGAGAGCTGGTTCTGTAACGGGGTGCTCGGTAACGAGGCGGGAGAGTTCCCTGTCGCGTTGCGATGAGGGTTTCCGTTCTGTTGTTGCAGCGCGATCTCCTGCAGTGGGTTGTTTCCGGGAGAAGTCTGAATGAATGAATAAATGAATGAATGAATCAATCAATCAATGTTTATAAAGGTTACTCATCCAGGAATGCAACACTTACCAATTATAAACTCGGTTTATTATAAACACTAGAATAAAACAGGCATTTCCATCGCTATCAAGCAATCTTTATCGGTGAAAAGAATGGGAAAACATAGTGTTTTGATTAAAACCAAGATTTATAAGAATAAATGAATGGTTATATACCTGCCCTTCCAACTGTGTCCTGCCACTTGCTACATAATGCAGTAATAAATAATGTAGACATACACACCTGCGGGGTGGCCTGTGCGTTGAGAGGGACAGACAGCCGCGCGGTGACGGCCAGGAGGTGGTCCCGCCGGGCCAGGAGCGTGTGGACGTGCTCCTCCAGCCGCTGGTTCTCCTGACGCAGCTGCTGCAGGCACGACAGCAGCGTGGCAACTTGCCGAACAGGTGGGGGGAGAACAGGACCAGAAAATTAGATAACTACATGTCTTCTTCATGTCACATGCGAAGTAGCATACATAATCATCATAAGCCAGGAAAAAGGGTACAATCTTAACACTGTCTCCAAATCATAAAATACCTTACAGTTTAATGAAAAATCTGAGATTTTAGACTTCTGGGAAGTATTCTGTCTGTCAATCTTCACCCAACCAAGAGCTGTCAACTATTCTCGAGATTCCTCAATCTTGAATTTGACCTTTTGACTTGTCATTTAGCCTGTCAATCTTTCCTCCATTTACTTTCAATCTGCTCTTACTGTTCAGGCAAACGGACGCACAAACCCATGTAGCTAAGACATCCAAAGCAATACCTCAGTACCATTCCTTTCATAGATTGTTAAAGACGAGACTTACTGTCAAAGTGCGCAGCCTGTTCCATGAGAAACTGGGACCCTTCATTCCACTGCCGCTCCAGCAACTGTTCAATACTGGTGGGGAAAGGTTGCCTGGAATATACCAAATTACAAATTGCCGTCTTTCAATATTACAGATATCATATATATGCACACACATCAATTTTCAAACAGATGAATTGTCGGCAATAAAGGAAAAGTTCTATTCTCCTGTTGGACTTCTAACCCTATCCTTAATAACACAACTAAGACTAGAAAACGCCAAAAAAGCAGTA